ATGGAATTTTCATTTGATATTCATAAAATATTCATAAATATATGCACATAAAATGATGAATAAACTCTTTTATTAATTAAATAATAAATATCTTATCACATCTCATGCTTCTAGGACACCATTTCCAACAAGTGCATCCTTGGGGGCAGGACCCGAAACCCGGCCCGGGGTGATATGGCTTTTTTTATTTGGTTTGTTAGTTTTATCATAGTATAAATTACTTGTTGATGCCTGTAATACGAAGATTTTCAGTTATATTTCCTTTGAGAATAATGATGTGAGGTTCCGACTATTGTGTTGGAACTGAATGTCTTATTTATTTATTTACTTGCTTACTCATTTATTTACTTATTTACAAAGTTATTTCAAAATATATCCTATTGGGCCTTTCGCTCACGTTTTATTATTTTATAAATGTTAACCCCTCCCAGGCGATTCTAAAAGCAGTGCGGAGTAGCTGAGTTGCTACCACCCGATTAAGGGAGGATTGTGTTCATCCTCCTCGTGTACGAATGTAAGAATTTGTAAATTCTGTAAACTCTGATATTTTTAGATTTCTAGACTGTGGTTGATGTCTGTAATGTTTTATTTACGTGTCATGTATGTACGATACTGAAGATCTTGTGGATAGATCCTATAGGTGTAACCTTGAACAGTGTTAGAGGTGGGAGTTTTTAGCCTCTTGAGATGTTCTTGTAATTTATTTTCTGCACAATAGTGGGGCTCGTTTGGGAATTTTTTTAATATTTTATTCTCATTCATGTTTAACCCCTAATCGAGCCTCCACGTCACCGACTCCTGTCTCGGGGGGGGGGAAAAAAAAACACCCCCCGAAAACATTATGCCCCTTTTCCTCATCTGAAACGACATTTATCTACTCGGACGGTCGTTTACTCTTTACAATGTAAATGTCGTTTCTTGTCATTTTTTCCCGCAAAACAAATCAGTCATATTCCCTTTTCCTTCAAATTTTAAAAGCCATGTCGTCCACCTCCTATATTCTTTATATTTTAATATGGTTTGTATAATAAATCTAAGCG